TGGGTCGGGTTACTCACTGAGAGCAGCGGTGCATCAGCGTTGGGATGTGCAGCTCAGTCAGGATTCAGGAATGATTCGCCAGGATTTTGGTAACGGAGCATTTTATGATGCTGATTAAATTTCCCAAACATGGAAAATTCATCGGGACGGTGAACCTGCCGTGAGAAAGTCCCGTGTCCGCTCAGGTAGGCTCCCCAGCAGAATGGATTAAACATTTAACTGGTGTTCTGATGGTTTTTACAGATTATTCCATTAGGGTAAGACCTCATGCATGTTTTCTTTAAAACTTCCCAAATCTTTGCTAAACTATTTTTTTATTACCTTAAACCAGAACGTCTACCTCAGAACGTGAGCATCCCTGTCTCTCTGGTTGTCTCCCAACTCTACTGGACAGTTTCCTCGCGTTCCCACAAAGTTCAACATTCACACATCCGGAACGTCGTCATTTCTCCCAGAAAAAACTCTTCTGAATAAACGATTTCAAGTAAAACACTAAACTTCAGGAATTATTTCAGTAATTTACACAAACTTTCGGGCCGATCAACTTAACAGTCTGGGAGAGAGAGACGTGCAGTTACCATGGAGACCATAATTAAGGGTTACAATGTTGACCCAAATGAGCTAAGAGTGGTTACCATGGTGACTCTAGTTAGCATTTAGAGGCTTTCATGGTGACCAAACAGATAGTAGTTACCATGTTGACAATGACGAGCCACTGGCGGTTCCCAACACTGACTTAACTGATTATTAGACGTTACCATGGTGACTAATGAACCACTGGTGGTTACCATGGTGACACTAATTGGCCATTTGTGGCAAAAAAAAGTGATCCTAATGACTGGTTACCATAGTGACTAATTGGTTATCGTTGGTTACCATGGTGACCACAACAAGCCTAGATCCAATGAGGCATTACCTGCAGCCCAAACATTTTTACCTATGTACTCGTCTGACTTAAACATACGTGTTCGTCTGCGTCGGGACGGACGCACGCAAAGCCATCGTCTGTCCTTGCGAGCCTGCCGGAGAGCCCTCACAAGGACGGACGGAGTTGAGCTCCCTTTACTAAACCTCCATCTTAACGCAAGCTTGTGATTGGTCAGAATGTCGCTGTTGTTGACAGCACTGCCACAGCGCCCTCAACAACATAAAGACAGCTGAAGGTATCTAGCGGCAGACACTGAGAAGTTGTAAGAATACCTCGTGAAAAACTAGAAATATGAACGTTTTATTCACCTATGACTGGACGAGTGAAAAGGTACGCAACAAGCGTTTTATTCACGGACGGAAATGACAGGAAACGGGGGGGGGGGGGGGGGGGGGAGGTGGCGAGTGAGCGCATGAAGAGGTGGAGGAGGATGAGAGACAAATTTGTCCGTGTTTAAAAAGTCTCTGAAATATCCATCTTTGATGGCTACGACAGGTTACCACGGAACAGCGCTACGCCCTCTGCTGTCCTGGCGGGGAACTGCTTTGCAACGCTCCCCAGGAGACAGAGACGTCCAAGAGCAAGACGTTTCCATCTGTCCTTGCGTGTCTCCCTCACGGAGCAGACAGAGGAGTAAATTAGGCTTCAGAGACAAAAAACCTGAGCTGCCTGCATGAACCAAATAAACTAGAGACTCTAAAAATAAAAATAAATTCAAAATGCCGCAGCCAGATCTTTAACAAACACCGACAGACGCACGCGCAGTCCACCCGTTCCCGCAGATTTACATTACGACCAATAAAAGAAAAGTGTTTTTAATGCAAAAAAAGGTCGACCTTCATATAATTATGTTCAGTTATGCACTCAATACTTGGTCGGGAATCCTTTTGCAGAAATGACTGCTTCAATGCGGCGTGGCATGGAGGCAATCAGCCTGTGGCACTGCTGAGGTGTTATGGAGGCCCAGGATGCTTCGATAGCGGCCTTAAGCTCATCCAGAGTGTTGGGTCTGGCGTCTCTCAACGTTCTCTTCACAATATCCTACAGGTTCTCTACAGGGTTCAGGTCAGGAGAGTTGGCAGGCCAACTGAGCACAGTAATACCATGGTCAGTGAACCATTTACCAGTGGTGTTGGCACTGTGAGCAGGTGCCAGGTCATGCTGAAAAATGAAATCTTCATCTCCATAAAGCTTTCCAGCAGATGGAAGCATGAAGTGCTCCAACATCTCCTGATAGCTAGCTGCATTGACCCTGCCCTTGATAAAACACAGTGGACCAACACCAGCAGCTGACATGGCGCCCCAGACCATCACTGACTGTGGGTACTTGACACTGGACTTCAGGCATGTTGGCATTTCCCTCTGCCCAGTCTTCCTCCAGACTCTGGCACCTTGACTTGATGCAATTTGCTGGGTTCCTTATATAGCAAACATGATTTCTGATTGGCTTAATGAACTGTGAATTGGAATGTTTATTATGGGAAGTGCCTTGAGACGACTCTTGTCGTGATTTGGCGCTTTATAAATAAACTTTAATTGAATGGAATTGAATTGATTTCCGAATGACGTGCAAAATTAGCTTTCATCTGAAAAAAGTACTTTGGACCACTGAGCAACAGTCCAGTGCTGCTTCTCTGTAGCCCAGGTCAGGAGCTTCTGCCGGTGTTTCTGGTTCAAAAGGGGCTTGACCTGGGGGATGCGGCACCTGCAGCCCATTTCCTGCACACGCCTGTACACGGTGGCTCTGGATGTTTCTACTCCAGACTCGGTCCACTGCTTCCGCAGGTCCCCCAAGGTCTGGAATCGGTCGTCGGATAGAGACCCAACACACTCTGCCCCTCCATGTGCGTTTGGCTGCCTCGGTCAGCAGGTTCAAGTCTGCCCTTAAAGCACACGTCTTCGTTGCCTTTCCTCTGTGACACTTTATACAAAACTCCAGCACCGGTTTGACCTTTGACCTGCTGTCCTATTCTATCAGTTTCAGTAGGAATTTCATCCTTGATTGTTTATGCGACGTCTCCCTGATGTCCATGTTTAGTCGTTGTTTTGCTGATACGCTCGAGCGTTTGGCTCTTTCGCGTGCAGCACGTCGGTTAGATGACACACTACTTTTGAACGGTGCTTTATGAACAAATTGGCCAGGTGTGGTGAATGTTGGTAAAGCAGCAGCAAAGCATGAAATCAACATCTGTTGGAAGGATGAAGGAGGACATCGGGGTGTGCTGCAGGAAGGTCTGAGCAGACTCAGGTGTGTGAATGCAGGTGATCGGTGGGTAAACGAGCAGAATGACGTCCAGGTGTGACGAGCTGAGAGGAGGAAATATCAGCTGGATGACACAGATGGACTAAAACACAAACAGCCAAATAAATCCAAACTCAAGAGAAGAGCAGCAAACTAAACCCTGAATTTCTCTTTCTAATGTGGTTTTACGTGAACAACTGGTGGATGAGTGTGGAGGGCGTGACCAGTAGCTGCATCAGCACCCTTCCTCAGGAATGTTCTGGGTGACATTTATCCTCCTCTTCCCGTCTAAAACGACAGAAGCATCCTGACTGGAGGCCCGTGTTTATCAGGCCGAGCAGACAAACCGCACTGAAATGGCAAATTAGCCTCCGCTTCCTTTATCCTGCAGTGAGCGAGCGCTCCACTCACGGTGAACGTGTTTCCATAGGAACATGGTGCTACTCAGAGCTCTTTATGCTCCTGATGGGGTTTTTTTGTGCTCATCTCTTCTCTGCTTCCTCTGCTCTCACCAGTCGCTGCACACAGATCCCGGCAGGACGACGGGTTGGGAAACGAAACCCAAAGGGTCGTTCGTTTTTCTCTGACCCGGCTCTGGTCCTCTCAGCCTGACATCTCTGCTTCTCAAGAAGTCTGCGAGGTGTGCAGCTGCAACCTCCCGCAGCCACCATGTCATTACTTTTCTGACTATCTGAATCCGCTTGATGCGTATCAGCTGGAATATCACAGCCGTTACTTCCGAGATGATTAGAGAGCAAGGAAAAAGGACGCAGAGTCTGCAGCAACACTTCAGCGACTTAGGAGGAAGTGTGTGTGTGTGTGTGTGCGTGCGTGCGTGCGTGCGTGCGTGCGTGTGTGTGTGTGTGTGTGTGTGCGTGCGTGCGTGTGTGTGTGTGTGTGTGTGTGTGATGAGGCGTCAGAGCAAACTCCAGCCTGAAATAGAAGTGAGGATGGGGACGGAGGAGAGCATCTCTTGTAAAGGTGTCAGAGCTGATTTGCGGCGGCGTCCTTGCGCGCTCCCATCCGCCCGACTGGATGTTTTATGAGCTTTATGGAATCAGAAAAGGAGGCAGGCTCACGATACGGCTGACAGAAGTCTTTTTATGGAGGCTGGGCAGAGGCGGAGGGGGTAATAAAGCTGAGTGCATCTCCTGGAACGAGGCTGCAGGGATCTGGGAGGGAGGGGGGTAAGAAAGCCGAGGGAACGGTGGGAAGGCGATGTGAACGTCAGCACGGGGCTGAGACTGCGTGGAAGAGCAGAATCACGATGTGGAGCAGCTCATCCTGCAGCAGAGGAGACCATTCCTCATCCCGTTGTTCCGTTTGGTGAAGCGTGAGATTGAATCCATCCAGAGAAGCTCTCAGCCATGCTGGATGGATTCTTACTGCCGAGGTGTCCTCTGGTGAAACGACGTTTCACGATCAGCCCCTGAACTGCAAAAACAAACTAGTGAAGACAAAACTAACGTTCTTGTCTCGTCTCTCCCTCACAGGTGGGCAGAACAAGCTTTCAGCTCTTGTCTTCTCACTGAGACGTTGCTCTCTCTCTACGCTGGTTTATTTATTCCAGGCCTGACGTTTCACACGGTGACTTCACCGAGGCGTCAGAAACACAACAAATGTGTTTTCCTTTTGTTCGCGGCAGAAGGAGCCGTAGTGAAAGGAACTTGCTGCTTCCTGCTGGTTCCTGAGCTCCTCATCAGTCACCGCAGGAGAGCTGAGGAGTTCTGCTGCATTACGGGACTCACTTACGTTTGTGTTGATGTGGGGTCAGGGGTCAGGGGTCAGGGGTCAGAGTAGAAAATGATCTTTGTGATTTTGTCTCCACAGACGTCGTCGTCCTCGTAGGAAGACACCCGCCCAGCCATCCTTAGTCCTCAGTAAAAACACTTTCATGCAAACGGGATGCATCAACGTTAAACGGCGTGTCGGAGCGCGGCCACACTCAGGAGCAAACCCACGGGCGTAAGTCAACACCAGGAAGGACTTTGGTTTCCTAATCTTCACTTCCTGCTGCAACAAAGGAAGGGAAGGGAAGCTGGCAGGCGGACGTCAGAACCTGTCCTCTGGTTTCCGGCCCCCAGACCTGGACCCGGTCCGTTCAACTCCTGCTGCAGGCCGCGGCGTTGATCACCGCTGCTTCATCAGGCCTCGTTTTCAGACCCATCAACATGTTTTAACACGAGAAACAAAAAGCTGAAACTCTGGATGTTTTGGGAGTCTTTCAGCTGGTTTGGTTGGTTTTTTTCCCGGAAGTTGAGGTTTTTGTTTCTTTAGTTCAAGTAAAAGGTCGATTTTAGAAACTTTACGTGACTTTTCATCGTGATGTGGGATTAAACTCAGCTGAAATCTGCTGATTCATCATGTAAAACGTGCCAGTATGGGACAAATCCTGGGCACTAGACGTGAATGAGTGTTTGTGATGTCAGGCGACAATGCACAGCACCTGATGCCTCTCGCACAGCTGCAGGTCTAAATGTGGACCCGGCCCCATAGCGAGAGAAAAATTAAAGAATGGGATTAAAGCTGGATTATCACTGAAACACCAAAGCAGCTGCCTTCATCTGGACACACAACCGATTTGTAGATTACGCTCATCGCGGATGAGGTAGCCTCTTGTGTGGCTGGGATTAAAACAGACAGATGGAGAACATGAACGAGCTGGAGCACCCTCTTCTGGGGGAAAACACCTGTAACAACCGAGTATCTGGGTCAGGACCTGGACCTGGACCTGCTCAGGTGGGGCTGTTTAAAGGCATCCTGGTGAAATGTGAGGAGGATAGAGCCTACCCTCCTTTAGCCTGGAGGAGTTACTGTGGACATCCTCCTGAGCTTCAGCAGCAGCAGCTCCTGGACCCTTGCTCTCTACCCCGCACCCTAGAGTCCTTTTACCCAGCCGCCCCCGTTTGGGGCCAAGCAGACTCTCTGGTCAACAAGGACTACCTGGAGACCACGTTTGTGGACATTCGACCTGGATCAACACTGGAGAGGAAGCTGCCGGCTGAAACGCATGACTTCCCGAGCATGGACGATGAAGAAGACCTGCTTCCTGACTCTGATGTAAGACACACAGTTTTGATCAAATCAAAAACTCTGAGGGCACATTAGAGAAACAGAATCAAACACGATCCAAAAGGTAAATGTTGAGAAAATATCAAAACAAGACATTTATATAAGAACTGGTTTCTGATTGGATGAAAGAAGTCAACACTGAGCTTCTTAAATCCCTGTCGACCACGATCCTTAAACTGACCCTAAATTGTTTTTTAAACTCTAAGCTAGAGCTTTAACGTTTTGTGGAGTAGGTAGGTGTCCTATAGGGGGCACTCTTTTTCCGCTGTTAGCTGTTATGCTAGCAGTTATATTTTTTAGTTTGCCCATCGTTAATTAAAGGGACATTATGGAAGTGTGACAGCCAAAACACGTATAGAAATAATAAATGTCTTCTTCATACATTCTCCTGCAATGCCCTGGTCCTGTAGAATGAGCCCTGGCATTTTTACTGTGATTGCCTGTTTTTCTGTAAAATCACAGAAAAAGAGAGATGCTCGGGTCGAGCAGGCTGCTTCATGCGCGTTCACGCTCAGGCATCGCCCGTAGCATTTGCTATCCGTAGCTTTAGCAGCAGAGAGAGAGGCAGTGCCACTTTGTCGCTGTTCCTAACGCCTAGTGACAAAGCTAGCTACATTTCTGAGGACCCTTAGCTACTTTCTGTAGAACTTTCTTCTAGATATTTCCTGCAAATTAGCAACAAAATAGCCATTTTCACTCCGAACCGTTCTTTGAACGTTGTTTCAGCTGTCATCAAGGATATAAATGTTACAGATACTGGGAATGTTACTGGCGCTTTATCTCACCTAGTAAGATGTCTGACTCCCATGTGGAAGACCTGGGTTTGATTCTGGATGTGAACATAGTTTATTTAGAGTTTCTTTTTTACATTAATGATATTTTTTTTACAGTAAGATGACCAAATTTTTATTTGAGACTCGCCGAACGGCATTGAATTCACAGATAAAAAAGATGTGGGTTCAACTTTGATTTTGGAACAATTTTTCAAGCAAGGGAAGGGAATGATCTGAGCATGCAGGAGGACTGACCCATCATAAACCTTTGTCGGCTGTGCTGAAGAGAAAGGTACAGAACCAAATTATTTCATTAATTAGCTGCATATTCTCCTGTCCTCTGTCCTCCAGGACACACACACACACACACACACACACACACACACACACACACACACACACACACACACACACACACACGCACGGGACTATCTCAGCCGTTATTTTCGTTAAGGAGTGTGCACGTACAGCATGCGCGCCTCGTGCACGAGCCTACTAAAGAAGCTGCCGTTACGCTTTTGGCCTGAGGGGGCAATCGTGAGCATAAAAATTCTAAACTCCGTAAAGTCCCTTTAAAAGCACAAGAAGAAAAAGAAGAAGTTTACTTCTTCTGTTGGCATCATGGGAGTAAAAGTAAGAGAGTGATCAATTTGGAGGTGAAGCAAGACCTAAAACCAGAGTGAACGTTAGCGTGGCCTACCCTAGTTTGAGAGAAATAAAGGAGGCAACAAAATACTGATGGTGACCTGGCTGTGTTGCTACTTGACTTGTAAGTAATAACATTTTTAGTCCAGCAGTGTGGATCTTTTTACGTTGATTTTAGCATTAGTTGGCTCATGTTGTGTTAGCTCGTTGTTAGCGCTAGCTACAGCAGGCTGCTGCGGGGTTGTTTAGGACAATTGTCATTCCACTTTCAACCAAACATGAAACTGGTCAAGTTTCTAACGCAACAGTCATTGAGATCAAAGCTCTAGCTTAAAGTTTGAAAAACTACGCTGAACAAAAATATTAACGCAACACTTTTGTTTTTCCTGCACGTCTAATCAGCCTTGATGTGCCACACCTGTGGGATGGATTATCTTGGTAAAGGCTAAATGCTCACTAACACACATGTAGACGGATTTCAGAACAGCACTGAGTCGTGGGTGTTTTGTGCACGTAGACACATTTTCAGTTCAGCTCTTTAAGCCACGCTTCCAGATTACAACAGAATACTGGACACAACAAACAGTCAACTAACCATAAAAACTTCATGTTATCTTACCCTTTCGACCCATTTGTTGCACCCTATCTGCCAAATTGCCACACGGCAATCAATCAATCAAAGCTTTATTTATAAAGTGCCTTCTGCGACCCACCAACCATATAACAAACTAGCATACTAGCTAATATAATTAGCCTAGCTCTGGCTTCACGTCCTATTTAGTTGCTCCGAGCCAAGAACATGTGATTCATTGGGGGGGGGGGGGGGGGGGTTTGATGGATGTTTCAGGATCCAGTCATTAAAACCGGGACGTCCACGCTGATTGGATAAGGTTTTTCCAGGATTGCACATTTCAGAGGTGATTGAAATAAAATAAAAAATTATATATATTTTTTACTATTTTCAGTAAAACATTGTCTTCCTCCGCTTATCCGGGTCCGGGTTGCGGGGGCAGCATCCCAACTAGGGAGCTCCAGACCGTCCTCTCCCCGGCCACCTCCACCAGCTCCTCCGGCAGGACCCCAAGGCGTTCCCGGACCAGATTCAATTCAATTCAATTCAATTCAAGTTTATTTATAAAGCGCCAAATCACGACAAGAGTCGTCTCAAGGCACTTCACATAATAAACATTCCAATTCAGGTCAGTTCATTAAGCCAATCAGAAATAAAGTTTCCTATATAAGGAACCCAGCAAATTGCATCAAGATTGGAGATGTAACCTCTCCAACGTGTCCTGGGTCGACCCGGGGGCCTCCTGCCGGCAGGACATGCCCGAAACACCTCCCCAGGGAGGCGTCCAGGAGGCATCCTGACCAGATGCCCAAACCACCTCAACTGACTCCTTTCGATCCGGAGGAGCAGCGGTTCTACTCCGAGTCCCTCCCGAATGTCCGAGCTCCTCACCCTATCTCTAAGGCTGAGCCCGGCCACCCTACGGAGGAAACTCATTTCGGCCGCTTGTATCCGCGATCTCGTTCTTTCGGTCATGACCCAAAGCTCATGACCATAGGTGAGGATTGGGACGTAGATCGACCGGTAAATCGAGAGCCTGGCTTTCTGGCTCAGCTCCCTCTTCACCACCACCATTTTCAATAAAACATTTATTTTATTGGCTGCCATCAGAATGTGGAGGGTGTTTGAAGCAATTTGGCAAAAACTTGTCAAGAAAAACATCTACCACACCTTTAAAGCAAACATGTGGAATATTTCGATTAGCACCTTCATCAGAAACGGGTCAAAAGAAGCAGTTCAGTGTCCACAATTATGGCAGAGCTACAGAAAAGTTTGATGCTTAACCACATTGTTTCTGGTTCTTAACCCTTATGCGACCTTCGTGCATTTTTTTTTTGCTCAAAGGACAAAAACGTTAGAAAACTAAAGGGTTATGTAAGGGTTAAACTCGTCACACCTTAGAAATGACTTAAATCGGTCATTAAAAACCCACTCGTGGTGCTGATGAGTGGATGGAAACTTGTGACCAAACGTTGGGTCATATATTGTTTTTCTGACTGTATTTTAGAGGAAAACCACAAAACCTCTCATGCTCTCTGCCCAGCTTGTGGCAGGCGAAGAGGAAACTAAAGTGGACGTGTGAGCGATGTGTTTTATGGTATGCAGCGATTCAGTTCTTTCTGGGTTACATAAAGTTGCCTTTTGCTGCAGAGCAACACCACTGCAGTCACTGGACATGCCAGTTCACTTCCTGTTTGAAAAATGCAACAAATGCTGTTGCCTTGCAGACCGAGAGGGCGGAGTTGCTAACAAATACACACACACACAGG